TGAAAGGGTAATCCTACTATATATAAGCGGCTAGCGTGTGTCTGTTGGTGTGTGCGTGTGTGTATGTTTGACCGGAAATTCATAGCTCGAGTCACAGTAATGATAGCGCAGTGGTTCTTACATATGTTATAGGGGGTGGGATGGGACACAAGTGGTACGTGATAGGAACTGATAACGACTGATAATAGCTGATAAGAGGGGCTAGAAAGCGAGCATCGCCAATTTCGTTTTGTCGTTCATATTGGTACTAGAGCGTCTATACTTACAAGTGTTATGTGGGGCGGTCCCGGGACATTGGTGGTACATGATTGGAAGCGATAGCAACTGATAAGGGCTGATAAGGTGCGTCAAAAAGCGAAAGTCGCCAATTCCGTTACGCAGCGTTGACACTTGAGCGTTCCTACCTACAAATTGTATGCTTACTTAATAGAATTCATTCGACTGCATGAAACCTAAACAAGTCTTCAGCAAATGATAAGTTCCGCACCTCTATGAGAAACCCAAACTCATTAAACCGCTAATCCATTCGGGGTTCTAAATAATGGTGAATGTAAATGAATGATAAGCATAAGTTCCTCACTTATGTGAATAGGCATATTTCGTTTTTATTTTGAGACTGACGACAAGAAAATCCTATTCACCGCTCGATTATCTTATTTCAAGAAAAATGCTGGATGTTTACAGAGTTGCGATCAATATACCAGTTCAGCTCGACGTCTATCACGTACTGGAGTAACTGTATAATTGATCGCTATCACGTTATCACGTCTGGAGCGTATTCTCGACGAGCTTCAGTGAAACTGTGGAGGGTCTAACACAGTCAATAGTGAGATGGTTAATGGAGTATCTCATGCTGATATTCCATGGGTCCTCCAATTTCGCTAAAGCCTGCCGTGTGATGCGCGCGATAGCGGGCGAAGCAAAACTGGTATTTTTATAAGTATAAAGTTATCTGAGCAGTAATCTATTACATGACAGTATAACCCCAGGTGAAACAAGGACAGACGGTGACGAGAGAGCACAGCGAGAAAAGAGACAGCAGATATCGCAACGGTGGGCGCGCATGATTAATTGTGGCGTCCACGGTTGCAAGTTTTACCTTTCCAGGGGTTTGGACAGCCCACGTGACCCTACATTGCGGTTGTGTACCCACCAACTTTGGGAGAGATTGATCTGGTGATATCGTAGCGAAATTAATCAGGAATCAGTCCAATAGCCAGACATTCTTTGCGAGAGAAGTAATACGGCTCCTTCTCGTGGGACATCAATTGGGAAGAGACTTGCACGAATACACAAAATGCAACCACACCTCTCCAAAATGTTCGACGAGAAGCTTTCTTCTGCAGATCGAAATGTTTTCGCAGTACGACACAACTTGGTAGATATTTCGTACATGCATAGATTGCACATTCGCTGTCTTTGTCACATTGTCCTCACCTAGAAAATCAATATTCGATTGCAAAACCTAGGGTGGAGCAAACTTATTGGTACACCGATATTTGGTCGAATTTGGAAGTAATTTTTCATACAACAAGTTCAATTTTGCATATCTTTTATTACTGACGTGAAATATCTCGGCTTTTGCTCTAATGCAGTCCATACAAAAAATTCCGACGGATTAAAGCTGGTGGACTCTTAAATTCCCGGGTCGCGATTGAATATGTGTGTGAGTCCGCTCGAAAATGAAACAACAGGCGCGAATATGATTGTTGCCGAGAAAAAATATAAGGAACTGTGGAAAACACTGAAATTGAAGACCTTCATCACTTGAGAGGCCAACCGTAATAGGACGGAGAGACAGAACGCGACTAGGAGAGAGTACAGCGAGAGAGTGCGCCCAAGAGAGGGAGCAGACACATGGTCGCTGTGAATAACATAACAGCAGCGGTAGAGGCTTCAAATGTAGGCTGCCGTCCAATACACTAACCTTCTACCAACTGTCGTAAACGGATAGCGTCTTTGTAGGCATACAGCAATAGACAGTACGATGGTTCGCCATCTCGTCCAGCTCGTCCAGTCTCTTGATAGTAACCCTCAATCGACTTCGGAAGACTGTAATGAAGGGTTTTCCAAGGGGTTGACCTTTAAATCGGTTGAAATCTCAGCATAATCGCCTATGTGATTACGTATATTCGTCTTCTTAACAACTTCTCGCGAATTGTGGTTACGGCACTTCAGAATTGAAAAATACAATTCCCCTTTCCCCCACATTTTGACCGCCACCAACCCAAAATATGACTTCTCCCCCTCAAAAAACTCGAATACGACGCCTTGAGAGCTGCCTAGCACACGGTTGGCTCTGAGTTGGGCTGATCTTCAAGGTCTTTGAACCAATGACCTCTCCAATGAGCTCCGCCTACCAGCCAGCGCAGCTTTTGC